GCTCGATCTCAACACCCGCTTTGACTGATAACTCAAGTTGGAAAAATCGCGACTACGACTGGGTTTTGTCTGTTTTGGCGGTTGAAAAACATGTTCAGTCCCAGAAAATTCCCGGCCAGAATCGCCAGATTTAAGGGATTTTTGCGTCCTCCCTCGAAGCTTTTTAGACGGCTGTGAATCGACTTCAGTTTCGTTACGAGTGGACAATAATGGTAATCGAGAATCTCGTTTTGCATGTGCAGTATCGGTGGATGGAACTGAAATGGGATTTATGAAATCTAAAGTGTCAAAGGATTGTTTTCTCTTCTGGCGTATGCTTCCAGTCAAGGCCTTACAGGGTGTTTCTTTTGACAATAATGGCTTTTTAAAACTAGCATTTCCATTTTGCAAACACTGATTGAAAGGCCAACTTCCCGTTTTGGTAGGCGCAGCTGAAGTTATCGACTTAGTTTCTTTGCGACTTCGTGTTTTACTCTTGTGTCCCACATGAGAATTAGCTGCTAAGTGAGATTTTAAATTGTTTTTAGTGCTTTGCACCGCCGAGCTGGTGCCAGCTTGAGATACACTCTTAATACACTTAACGTTTTCTTTGGTTTCCGCACGAGCCCCTCTAGTTTCCAACGATGGTGCAGTGATTCGACCATCATTAACACGAACTTCAAACGAGTTTTCATCCCTCGAATTCGCTACAATTTGAATTTTCATATCAACTTTACTGCTGGTTTTAATCACCTCTTCGATCGCTTTAATTACATGGTCTTTCAGTGCGGTGATATCAACATTATTGAGATCGCTATTCTGGATGTTAATTGTGGTCTGTCCATTGCGATGGTGGCGGTTAAGGGAAGCGGGATTACCGACAACCTCCAAGTATTCAGCTGCTGTATCAAACTCCTCCAATTGGGCCTTACGTCGTACTTCTTCCGGCCTGAAGGAGAATAGACTATCGGGGTTCCAATAAGGGGTTATTACTTCGTGAGTCTCGATCAGCCAAGGTTCATTGACATAGTTCAGGTTCACACAACAAAGATCCTGTGGGTTTGCCAAGCGAACATCCAATTTAGATTTTTCCCATCCCTTGAACATCACCATTGTTTCGGAATAAATTGGATCATCCGGCAGGGCAAAACTTTCACAGCAACGCCCTGAATAGTCCTTTTTCTTAAACCTGTAGAACTTGTGATTGGGCGACGTCTCTGCGTGACCGGACAATTTATGCGAGACTGGCTCACGTTTAACAGTAACATCTTTGAGTTTTTCATTTTTATATTTAAAGCCACTGTTACTTCTGTTATTGTGGACCAGCACGGACGTCACATTGATTTGGATCCGGGGCATGATTCAAGTTCCTAAAATTCACAAGAAATATTAGACACTGTCAATTATATGTGTGTTAAAGAGGTAAGTAGGCCCCAAAACGTGCTTTTCCGGTTAACATGCAAGTTGCAGTGCTTGTTTTCCAGTGAAAACTTACCTTTAGGACGCCACGGTTCTACCGTCGATATAAAGTCTAGGTGCGTTTGCTAAATATTCTCTTAACCCGCGTTCGAGGCGCTGGTTTCTTTACAAAAACACTTTGAATTATTAAATCAAATTCATCCACTCATAAGCCACCACAAAAAGGATCCTCCACAAAACACCAACATCGGCAGACACACAGCACAGACTGGCATGAAGTTTGACTTGCCTGTTAATGTCAAACTTTCCCGCTTAAAAGACACGATTGAAGTTTGCTGCTATTACTTTTGAACCGTCTTTTGTTTGAAAACTACATGAATTTGTGTCCTCACAATCACGGTCGTATTTTCCACTTCCGATTTTCGCAAAAATTCTTCGCATCGCATTCGATTTGTGTGATTGTATTTGCATATATTTATTTGTTTTGTACCTTGCTAATGTAGGTGTAAAAAATAAAAATTGCCGAAAGATTTTCTATTTGCGCGTGTTAGGGGCCGTCCAACATCACGTAAGTCCTTTTTTGACCAATGCGCATTACGTAATATTTTCTAATTCTTTGAGAAATAAATTTAACTACATTTTTTATATTTTTTATTATATGTACTTTTCGCAAAATAATTAAATGTTCAAAATGTTACATGAAAATATATTTACCGCTTTCCACTATAAGCAACGTAACATTTACTTTTTAAACGTTGTTTTATATGTCTTCACGGCAAATCGGTACAAAATAATAATTATAATTATAGATAATAATACCACAAAAGCACTTAAATTAGAAGCAATAAACATGTTTGCAACGACTTGCACCAAGTATATGAATATTTAATACAGAATATTTTCTTGATTTTCAAACTCTACATTTTCTACTTCTAATCCTACGTACTTCGTGCGATAAATTCTCAGATATGTGCACTTTCCATTTTTGAGTTTGATCAATGAGTTTCTCATTTTTGATTCTATTTTCTAATATTTTATATGATCTATACAATTTTAATGTATTTTATATCTTTGTAAGATATATAATTTGATTGCAGGTTTGTAATTGTAATCTGTGTACAGAGTATAGATTGGACAGTTTTGCCGCCAAAATGATTTTGCTAAATGCAACCACAGAGAGGCGTCGTCCAAAATTCCAGAGGATCAGCTGATTGTTTGCATGCGTTTGTTTTGTACATATGTCCATAAGAGGACTCTGAACATACAGTATTTTACAGTTAAGATTATTC